TTAGTTTTCAATCAATTTTATTGTGTGTGACCCTATAAGTTCAAGCATACCCGGTTGTAGGCATTCGATACTAACTACAAGTAGCATCTTAAATTAGAAATCTTTCTAATGTAGCTTGAATTAGAACTCTTCTAACTCTCTCTTTATGAAGAACAATTAATATATTTATATTAATTTCATTCTTTGAGCTTCTACTAATTATGACTGACACCTAGCAGCATATCATGATCAACCTTTGGATAGCACGAAGTAGATAAAGAACCCATTCAGTCTATAGTTGTCATGCAATTCAATCCTTTTATCACACAATGCCCCAATTGAATTACTAGAATATGGAATTATTGTCAAACCCCTAATTCAATCTTATGTGTTTGATCTTAGGACTATGACTCTTAATGATTAATTAAAAATTCTTTTCTAATTGTTATTTTGCCTTGGTCAAGGACTTCTTGAGTCATATTCTAGAAGATCACATAGGACATTCTCCCTTTTTTTACTAAGGGTGATAGATTTCATATTGTGCACTCATAAATCTCTATGCATGTCTAATTATATCCAACAATATATATTCAAGTTACATGGTTAGCATATGAATATGTTATATAGTTAAAATATAGAAGTCCATGCACAAGATAATATTGGTGTCTCAAGTCTAAGGATCAGTTGCATAACTTTAACTTTAGGATTTAATATTGACAGGTATATAAAACTCCATATAAAAAATTCTACGTTAGTCAATTGTCACGTTCAGTGTACTTGTTTTCTAACAAGCACCCATACACTTGCTTTAGTGTTTCTACAATAGTGACTTGAACGAGTCCCCTCATATCAAATATGAGTAAACATAGTATATGCTAGTTTATCTAGATTACATAGTGCCCATATAGTAATCCTATGACTAGAAACATTAAAGAGTTAAGTACTAAGAAGTATATATCTCCTCTTCTCAAGTTCTTGAGAACCTATCTTCTAAACTTATACTATAAGGACTATATCATGTATATTAAAATGAAATAAAGTAGAAATATGATAAATAAACGTACCCTTTTATTTAAGTAAGTAATGAATATTGCTAGTACAATCCCAAAATATCATCTATATGATTGGTCTTAGAGCATAATACTAACATTATGCTAGTCAGATAGCTAGCTTCCCATCCTGGCCGATAGAGAGAAGCTTCCGTAACTAATCTGTAACCATAGTCTGGTTGACAGCTGATGGGACTAGCGCAACAGGTGTTGTATGGCAATATTTGGGCTCAAATGGCTGATTTAGTGATGCCAATGCATTTTTATTCACCAATTTAGGATCTAGTGACTTTTCTCATGACTAAAGCTACACATATCCAAAATAGCTTGACCTCAGTACTTATTATGTGAATTAAAAGTCACTTTGGGAGGTACAACCAATAGGAGAAAACCCTTTCCAAAAAGGATTTTAAGACGGACCCTTTCAGCTAGAAGTCATTAACAACTAAATCCACCGAGGGAAGTTGACAACGATGGAGAATTGATCACAAAGTCTCTCGAAGTCATCTCTGAGTGCCATTAAGAATTACATAAGCCTTTGCTCCACTATAAAGGTGTGGTATGCCTTATCAGTACTCAGTTAAGTAGGTTTAGCAAGAGCTAGTTAATCCCAATATCTAGTCAAAAACTAGTAGAATTCTTATATGTTTCTATATCCTTGACGCGCATCTTGAATTTCATGCTATAGGCTCTAGCTAATACCTCTTTGCAAATTACCTCTTTGCTAAGTTAGATTGAACAAATAGTGTGTGGCCAAATAGTCCTAAATTCATTAGTTGTGGCAAACTTAGCCACATGAACAATAATGGTCTGATGAACTGAATTGCCAATCCAAGTAATGATTTTGCCATTGTTAATATCCCAATTGTTCTTCAAATCAACATACTTTTCTGCCTTAGTATCCGTTGGAGCTTGTGTAACACCATTGATGTAACTTCATTTATCTTTCCACCCAAATATTTTTTCCTAACGTAAGTCCAAATAAGTATAATTTTTATCCGAAAATCTCTAACTGATAGCCTGAAGAGAATTAAAGTTGCCACTTGCCATGGTTTAATAAGGGAGAATCAACTATTAGTGATTAAAACACAATTAAACAAAATCATAACAAGAAAGTCAAATTGAAAGTGTGATTCAATGCCCAAAGCAGTCTAACAAGCAAATATGTAAGCCAAAGAGAGATTTTAACCACTTCAGACGAAACAATCATGCAAGAGATCAGCAACTTGATATTTAAGAAGACTAGAAACACAGTCAAACCAAGAAGCAAAATCAATGACATCTGAAGTTTGGGGGGTCGAAGAATAGGAGAGCCGAATCCTAGAATTGCCAAAATCCAACCTAAAATACCTAAAATTGCTTCGAGTCCCTCAATAGATGAACAGTGAACAATGGTGCTTAGTCGCACCCCTTAGGAAATATTTGAACCAAAAATTTTGACAAAAAACCCTAGATTTGGCAGACCGAAGAAATTTAACATAATTTTCTCAAAAATATTCAAAAATTGAAGCACTTATTAAATGAACTCGAAGTAAAACACGAAGCACACCATTGAGAAGCCCATGGAGAGTCGATTCTAAAGGTGGTCTCCACTGTCAGAAACTGATGCGATGATAACGCTAGCTTTTGTAAGCCAACAAAAAATTTCTCCCTTATTTTTGTGATGTCTTTTTTTTAAATTTAGGATCGTAACATGCTCTGATACCATGTAAACATTGATCAAAGAGACAAAAAGGAAAAAGAAAAGAGAGAGTAAATACAAAACAATGAGACTATGCAACAACATAACCTAAAATACACAATAAAGACCTTATATTGTAAGGCAACATAGAATAAAGTAAACGACTAAACTACCTCTAATATTGATACTCTTAACACTTCCTTCACACTTCTCATAAATTTGATTGTAATTATTTGTGATTTCATGCTGTCACATTTCTTATGAAATTTTTGTGATATGAATTATATACTGTCAATGTTAACATTCAAAGTACATAATTGCTACAATAGTGTGTAAATTTTTGCCTTTCTAATGTCTTATCGAGTCCAGCCAATGACCTGATCTCTGATTTCAGATATGTAGTGGCTAGAGTTATAAGGTTGACATGACTGGACTCTGGATTAAATGTGGTTCCACATTTAGTTGTTGCAAATCAATCTTCAAGTTCCATTGCCATTCATTTGTTAATTGCTATGTAATTATCCCAATGATCTGGGGACAGCCAGTTAGTTTTGATTTTATTCCATGGTACAATTTATTGTAACTGTAATAAATAGTAGTGCTACCATCAATGTTGTTGGACAAGCTCATTTCTTTGTCACCATTCTAGAACTTAAGGCAGATATTCATTACCACTTGTATTTGCTTCCTACAGTTTAGAATAGAAGTTTTCTCCTGCCTTTTCCTATCTATGCTAGAAGATGGTTTTCAGTAGGGGTACTGAAGGGCCTAAGAATGCAAAAAGCTTATTATGTTTAAGCTCATTTAGTAGAATTTCTATTGTGGTAAACATCCAATGAGCCCAAAGAAGCTCAATTGTGTGAAGTCGAAGATAGCAACTTGCAGTGCAAGTTGTCACAAACTCATATAGATGTTTTAGTCTCTGCTGGGTATAGATTAGGCGTTAAAGACCAAATTGTAGTAGTCCAAGGGGAAAGGTGATAAGCATGTTACAGTCTGCGGAGACTGTATGTAGATAGATTGTTGCTGCCTCATAGTAGCGATTAGCATTTCACCTGATAAGTTAGTTTTGCTTACATTGAATTGCCAGAGTTTTTTTTTGGCTCTCTGTCATTGTGATTACCACAGGTTTTAAGGTCTCTGTCATTGGGTCTCAACCTGTGGCTTTCAACAATTTTTTTTCGCCTGAATCCTGGGCTAGCGATGCATGGTGCATTGCCCAAAGGCCACAGTAGTAAACACTACTATAGATAAGCCTTTGGAGGCAGTGTGTCAAAAAATGACACTTAAGAGCCCAATGGCTAATCTGTGGCTTTCAACAATTGCCACTGGTTTAGAGATTTGATGTTGACTCCTTTTATCGTTGTCAAATTTGTATTAATGCAATGTAGTCATCAGCATCTTTCATCATTACTTCTTTAATATCCAATTAGAGGGGTATCTTTTCATTTGTAAATTCCTCTGGCTTAACTGATGATGCTACTTACTGATAAAAAAAATTAATGATGCTATATCGATCAAAACATCATTTTGGTATAAAGGGGCTTAATTATCGAGGGAGAGGTTATCTCTGTAACTAAAGAATCATTTTGATAAAGTTGATCTGGCTATTAAAGTGTCAAAATTGTCCATAGCATCTGTCCACATATAGGATTGGAAATTATTCCATCCATGATATAAGCATGTGTGAAGTTTTCTTAGGGGATGAGGATAGTTAGCATAAGGGCATGCAACATCAGATTTTTACTCCAAATCTGAATGAAGGATTGGAGACTATTGTGAGATACTTAAAATACTATCTCAGTACTGAGTTTCCTGTGGCTATGGGACGGGGTGTTTGTTTTGATTCTATGAAAAGCACATAAGCACTATGGTTTTATTTGTCGCCTTTATTTGGTGTGAATCCCTTAACATTATTTGTACTAGACTACTAGTGTATTTCCATATCATTTGACTACCGTTTAAAAATTCATAGTTTTCCCATTTTTGATGCCTCTTTGTATTTCCTTTCATCATGTGTCTAGGTGCGATTTATGGGGGAGCATTCTCATATCTCCATGGACTTCGACAATGTAAGCTGCCGTTTTCTCTTGAATCTATTTTCATTGATATTTTATATGTAAATAGACAAGATGTCAGAGGCTTCTCAGATTTGGTCACATTTTTAATTTGAATGTATATTTAAATAATGAAATCAAGTGACAACTTGGTTTATTGTTTGACTTTTGGTGTCAATGTGAAATGTTCTTTTCGTTCTGAAATAGATTATAACAGTCACACTGGAAAATTTCATGGATATCGCACTAAGCTCAGATACTGACAAGCACTTGAGCAAAGAGTCTCAACCCCAGGAACATTGGGTTGATGGAGTCCTCAAAGCAGAGGATCGTGGCTCATTCACTGACATCAGCACAAAGGTTTCTTCCTTACCAAAGATTGTCAATTCCAGAGTAGAATTGCCACCCACAATGTAAGATCCCATACTTTATGTATTGTGATATTCTCTTTAGTTCAGGAAGTAGTTTTGTTTTTGACATCTTTCTACTCATTTGCCACTTTATAGGGATACATCCAAAAGTCCATCTTACTGGTCCACTGTTTGCCTGCATAATATGGCCCTACTGGCAAAGGAAGCCACAACTGTGCGGCGTGTACTTGAACCTCTTTTTCATAGTTTTGATGCTGAAAACTACTGGTCCTCAGAGAAAGGACTTGCCTGCTCTGTATTGACATATTTGCAGTCGCTGTTGGAGGAATCAGGTTACACTTGGCACCCTAGTTCTCTTTCTTTGCTTCAAGAAAACAAATTCATAATAAGTCTAATATGAATTTAGTTTTTGTTTCTTATATTTTCAACACTAGGCGGAAATTCCCATCTTTTGGTATCTATCTTGCTCAAGCACTTGGATCATAAGAATGTTGCTAAACAGCCTCTCATACAGATGTATATTGTTGATATTGCCGCACATCTTGCACAGAATGCAAAGCAGCAGGCCTCAGCCGCAACCATCAGTGCAATAACTGATTTGATTAAATATTTACGCAAATCTATGCAATATTCAGCTGAATCATCGACTTCTGGAGATGACTCAAATAAATGGAACTCTGATCTTCAGTCTGCCATAGAAAACTGCATCTTGCGGCTCTCAATCAAGGTTAGTAATGAGTTCATAACTTTTGAACGTCTCAAAATAAGTATTCTACTCAACTTTTAGATGCTTAGTAAGCTTATCTTTCGCTTTTAAACTTCAGGGTTTTAGGTTGAAAGTTAAGTCACCAAATCATTGCCAAAAGAGCAATAGATGTGCTTAATTTTGTCACTGTTGAAGTGTACCTATGGAGGGTGTAGAAATTTTGTCAAGCTTGTAGGCTAGAATGGATCATCCATAATGCATTTTAGGATTGGTTGGATTAGCCAGATTTTACAAGGAGTATGTTGATTATTCTTCCTCCTACTCTGTCGTAGCAGTATCATTCCATGCTTGGGACTTTAAATAAATCAATAAAAGGAAGGAAAACATAGGTACGGGTGGTCCTTACTACTTTGAAAACTACCAGCATTAGGATTATTCGCCCCGTATGAAGCACGGATATTTTGATCGGGGTGACATATCGGTATCCGATATGTATCGGACATACCGATACTTGTGGATCTGTATTGGGTGTGCGTATCTCCACAGTGGGTATATTTTCCTTATAGTTAGTGAGGTGGGTTGTACAAACCATGAATCATACAAATGGGGATTCCTTGTTCCAAGGTATTCATTTGGAGGTGAATCACATATGTCACAAGATTGTCAATTCTTTACAATTTGCGTGGATTGAATAATGATTTTTTATGATTTATGTCAATGCCAATTGAGTCTATTGCAATTAAATGTTAAGTAGAAGCAGTGTTATTAAAACTGGACCGGACCTGCCGATTCAACTGTTGAATCGGGACCTAAGCCGGTCTAGTTTACTAATTAGACTACCTATGCAATTGAATCGGCTGTAAACCGCAAAACTGGCCGGTTTCAAAGAAAAACGGTGAACTGGGCGAGTCTCTGTTCAAATTTTAAGTGATTAAAAAAGATTTAAACTCCCTCAGGCTCCAGTAGTACCAATCTCATCATGAGGATTTTGAAACTGAAGGCTAGGCCGCTTGGCTACTTGAGTAGCTTGAGCCACATAGCCAACTAAGGCTATTGAAATGAGGACCATTATAGGTCAATTAGAGCTTCTAGTTGCTCTGATTTTGTTGATATGGGATTGTATTCTTCACTTGAATAAGGCATTCAAATGCCTTTAACGCCTTCTCTTTCATCATTTACATATTATTTTTATGTGAGATTTAAAAGCCAAATCACTAGTTAATAAAATATTTCATATTTTTTAACTAAATTATTATATTTATAATTTTTTATATTTTTTATTATATGACCGGTCTGACCAGTTGATTCCACGGTTAGACTAGTAAAACCATTGACCCGGTCCCTCTACTTGTTCGATATCCAGTCTAGTTTTGATAACACTGAGTAAAAGTTGAGGATCTCAAAGATTGATTCATGTTCAACTTTAGAATTACATAAAAAATTAGTTTCAAAATACCATTAGGCAGTCCCTATATCGAAAACATAAGTTGTTTTAGTTGGACGTGTTTTATCTCAATATTTTATATACCTAGTATTGTAATTGTAAAGAGTGCTTTTATTTGTTGGAACGCGAGTCTCAAGATTCGTTGACGGCATGTATAAACTGAATACAAAAAATTATTTGTTAATCCTACAAGACAACATTAGTATTTACCTTTAACGATCACACCATGAACGATTACTGATGCAGATCAAATAGTCGGCTTGATGGAGCTCGCGATCTTCTACCGTATGTCCTTTAATGCCAAAAACTTGAATGTAGTATGGGCTGCAATCCCCTAAATTTTTTCTTACTCTTTCTTTGTGTCTTCTTTTTTTTTGGTACAATTTTTTGCCTCGTCTAAACGTGAATGTATAGTATTATTGAGAGAATCAGAAATGATATATTTTTATAGGCTATAGTAAACCCTACGGAGAAATAAAAGCCGGACTTCCAATAGGTCTAGGAGTTCCATGTCCAATTTATAACAAACATTCTACGGTCCATTAATAATAAGTTAGTCCACTAAAAACTTATTATTGATCTCCCAAGCCTTATCTCAAAATTACATTTTGAGCTCCTTGTTATTATATCCTTAATAATCTTTTCATGTTTAAGATCATAGATGTCTGTCAATTAATTAAATTACTGACAATTATATTTAATTGACTTCTTTTATCCTTACCCGCAAGGTTTGACATAAACAAAACTTATAAGCTTTCTCTAGAGGACATCATCAACCCATTTAAATATCAGTACGTAGTTTCTTTTAATAATTAATTTCCACTATACAAACAATGACATGTCCTAATTCACCGAATTTTTTGAATCAAATATGAATTTCACTCTTTGATGAATTAAAGTAACAATCATTAAATGTACGTATTCATTAAATATCTCAAGATTAAGAGTTGAAACAATCATAATAATCAAGAGATACTTATTTTCTTATTTAGTCAGTAAAAAGATAATAACCTCAAAAAATGGTCTTGTTCAATACACAGTGTACTAGTTCAACAATCCTAGACATTAGACAATCTATTATAGTTAAGATACACTATACTAGAAAATTGTACTACAATCCTACTGATGGTGTGTTCAATTCCACCTAAGACTGTGAACCTTTACTCATTTCATACAAGAATCCGATAATCTGATCTTTTGTGCATAAATCGAATTGCACATAACAGATTATCTATAATGTAAAATAAAAGACACACATGCATTCCATATATTTAATATATTGCAAACATTTTACCCATACAAATTCTCATTAAAATAGAAAATGACGAACTTTTATTAAATCATAAACTGAGTTTCACTATAAAAACAAGCTTTTAATATATAACTCTATCAATATCCACATCAATTAATTAGAGCCACTAAAGGTTGGTTTATATACATGAGGGTTTATTCCACCCATTTTTAATTGGTTTTCGGTTGGATGCTATAACATGGTTTCAGAGTTGGTTCTTGGGTGGTGTTCAATGGGTAAACATTTTTACCCATTTGAATTTCCCTATATGCTTGGTTGTTTGTTTGTTTGTTAAACTCACATATGAGTCTAAATCCCACGAGAAGAAGTGTGTAAGAGAGCTTATATCCCACGTTGAATGATTAGGAACACTAAAGGTTGATTTATATACTTAAGGGATTACTCCACTCATAACCAATTAGTTTTGAGTTGAATGCTTTAATAGTAATAACATCCTCTTCTAGTCATATATGTATCATACTTTTTAAGATTTTGTCATATCATCGTATCTGTATTGTATTGTATCGATATCCCAAATCCGTTCTTCCTAGCCCTCCCTAGACTCCACTATATTTTATTGCCTCTGCTCCCCCCCCCCAAACCCCAAAATAAAAAATAAAAATTATGACTACCCCTCCAAAGAAATGCCTTGTGTCACAAATTAGTTGGTTGGTGTGCTACTTGATCCTTTTATATATTCTTTGTACATCAGCCTCCCTTGTTTGATTAGTCTTACGACAATGTTCACAAGTTATCCGGTGATCTATTATTAAGGATGGTGTCAAAAGCAGTATCTCTATTGCAAGGGACATGTATTATTGTACATGGTTAGGATATGTTGACGATGTTGTTGTTAAGTAAGGAAGAGAGGTAGCATTAGATTTCGTGTACAAGTATGTGAAAGAATTTATAATTACAACACCACCCGGGGTATCAAACTATCAAGCAACTCATATATTTCTCGAGTTCTAGAGTTCTTAGGATGTTGAAAAGATTGAAGTGGGTAAATACCGTGGCAACATCCTCCTTCCTTGCTGCCAATTTTTTGAAGTTCTTTCCATTAGTGATTTGGTTAATGCGCATTATATCCGAGTTACTAACACTTTGGTAAGGGTCAAAATTTTGTCTCAATGCATTTTTCAAATCACCTAAGAAACGAAAACGTTTCGAAAATAGAATGGAAACTAATAAAAAATTGAAAATTTTAATTTTGAAATATTGGTCAAAACATACTAAAACAACTTGAAATACCCCGAACATTGGTGGAAACATGCCGAAACACCTCGAAGTATTAGAATTTGGATTGAATCACTAATTCGTTTCAGTGCCCTTAATTCGTTTCGGATGTTTCGAAATGCAATTTTGATCCTTATCTTAGATTATTTGAGCTTATGTTGTGGCATTATGCTTACATATTAATGCATTTCATTTGCATTGACGTGTGTGTTAAAGTATCCAATTCAAAACCAATTGGTAATGAGTGAAAAGGCCAGTTAACTACATAAACTATTCGATGTGGGATATAAGTTCTCTTTGCACCTTTTTCCACGTGGGACTTATGATCACACGTGGGCTAACAAATGAATAGACATACATAATCAATAAGAGACTTGGCTCACTAATTAACTCAACTCAGGTGTAGCTCTAATACCCATAGTTATTAGTATCGTACGATACGCGATACGTATTGTATGATATGTCACGATCGAGGATCAAAATATCGTTTCGAAATGGTTGAAACATACGAAATGTTTCCGTTTTCGAGACCGAAACGAATCAGTGATGAAATCGAAGTTTTAATACTTTGAAGCGTTCCATAATGTTTTGATATATTTTGTTATATTTCAATGCATTTGTACAATTATTTTGGAATGTTTTAATGTATTTCAAAATATTTTGGTATATTTCGACCATTGTTTTGAAAAAATAATTCTCAAATTATTAATGTTTTTTTCATTCTATTTTCGGAATAGGTCAAAACATTTCCGATGATCGAAACAATATACCAAAACGAAATTTTGATCCTTGGTCACAATACACTTAAAAAACGATACGTATCATGCCTCTGTATCATTTTTGTACCGTATCATACAATACACGATACGTACGATACGATACATCTGATATGTATGATACGTGAATATACGAGACTTATTTTTAAATCACTAGCCAGTGAAATAACGTTTCAGTGGTTATGGTTTAAAAAAAAAAAAAGTAAAGTCTACTGTTAATGTTGTTCAATTGAATTCAAAATTCCTAATTAATATTAAAGTTATTTAAGCAGTTGATGTTAGAAGTTTGAATTAGAGGTCTTTGCATTTTGATATTACTGAACTATGTTAAAAACTTAAATAGTTGGTGGAATATTAATGAAATGTTATATTTGTATGAGTCTCTAACTTTTTTACTAAGGTATATGTGTGTGTATATATATATATTATTAATCATTATTTAAAATTGCGCATATCTTACAATAAATTATTTTTGAAGAAGCCTTCCGATACGCGATTTGACAATTATGTTAATACCATGTTAGAGTATATAAAGCAAAGTTGGATGATGCAATTCATTCGTGTGAGATATAAGCCCTCTTTATGCAATGCATGCCCACAGCCCCCCCCCCCCCCCCCCCCCGCCTCCCAAAAAAAAAAAAAACTAAACACATACACATACACGTAGATGGAATAACTTGACCTAAAATATGTTCTTCTATGACTATATCTTGAGTTTCTATTGTTGACCCTAATATCACTTTGAGCCCTTCTTAAATTGGGATCCATTAGACAATTGGTTGCTCTTAATCTTCCTGGACAAGGGGAGAAGTCCATTCATAGGTTTCCTATAATGCTAACATTCAGATCCAATTAAATTGAGAAAAAACAAGCACCGGCCGAGGGGGAGGGGTGGATGTCTTGGTTGAATTATCTGCAAGACTGCAAACGATAAGTGGTATATTGAAATGAGTCATCAACTCGAGATGGCCTGTGAGATCTGCTTGGTTGGCAAGTTTTGTTATTTGGCTCGATTAGACTATCTTCCCTGAAATTTTAGATTTCCAAGAAACCAGAAATGAGTTCATAGTTGGTCATCCAACCTACCCTAAAAGGCTTGCTTGAAAAAATCAAGAGTTGTTACAGTAGTAGTTTGACTATAGTTAGTTTATTACTTTGAGTTTATGTATTCTTATAGATTTATTGATTGGTTGATAAATTTCCACGTAAACACAGTTGAAAGATACTTAACATTATACAGGGTGCAAAAATAAACAGAATAAAAAAAATCTAGGAAACTTATATGATTCACTGAAAGTGATTCAACTTGGCTATCAAACGTATATTAGTGCATGATGCATTTCCTCGGCTCTGTAGCATAGTGCGTAACTTGGATCAAAGTGGAAAGGCTTTTTCTTAACACAAAAAAATATCTTTTAAGCAACTATTTTTTTATTTTATTTTCATGCTGCCTCTATGGATCGTTTTGTGCAACCTGTTTCATGTGCACCTGCAAAATCATACGCAAGCACCTGCACAATGTGGAATTCAAAATTAAGGTCTAGAGGCATCTTGCAAGCTCCTTTGATCTTTGATACCCTTTGTGAACATGGCTACATGGAATGTGTGTGCGATTTGTGTTGGACATACCTGACAGAGGAGACATACCTTAAAGGTATGTTTGAGACAATTTGAGTTGGTACAGGAGGACTTCGATTATATTTGGTCAAGTACTGTAAGTTTATGCATTCTGGCATAGATTTATTGATTCATAGATAAATTACCACATAGACACATTTGAATATATATATTTAACGTCATCCAGGGTGACAAAAAATATATAATTTACCGAAAGTGATTCAACATGGCTATTTAGACGCAAATAATGTCTGATGCATTCCTTCAATTCTGTAACATAGCATCTAACTTGGATCAATGTGGAAAGGTATTTTTGCTTGATACAAAAAGAATATCTTGTAAGCAACTAATTTTTTAATTACTTTCATGCTGCCTCTATGGATACTTTTATGCAAATCAGTTTCAAGTGCTAATGCCAAATTATATGCAAGCACCTGCATTATGTAGAATCCGATATTAAGGTCAAGTTCTTTTCTTATAACTGTAACTTTGAATAATACTGGATGCCTGAGTTCATTAATTTGTGAACCATGAAAGCCAAGTTGCTTAGCTTCATTGGTGTCTGCTGCTACCCCATGGGGAAGGTGCAGATCCTAAGTCCTTGCTTGAACTTGGGACATGGATGCTTGAGTATTTGTATATTGCTAATGGAGTGGAAATAATTGGATATGTTCTTATTTTAGTTTAAGATTTATCCTAGCATGCAAGGTTTAACTTAAGACTTGCCTTTGTCTTTGGGGTGTGTGTGTGTGTGGCTATACAATATTTCCCTTTTACACTCCAAAATGTTTGGTGCCTTCAGTCTAATAGCCGAGATAAGTTGGCTTACTGCATCTGATTAATAATTTGGCAGCATTTCTGTATCAAATATCACTCATTAATAATAGTCACTACCGTTGATAGTTTGCTTATATTGATTAAACAATCTTTAAATGCCTTTCTCCAGGAGTAATCATAATCATAATTAGCATGATTGCCAATAATATCATCAACATTGGCAGCAAAGCATCTTCACATACAGTTGAATCTACGAATAATTAAGGTGGCCAAATGTTCAGCTTGAACACTAATTTACTAAAATCCTTTCTCTCGTCCTCGAAAATTCTGGCTGTTTAATTGGCATCCATACTGCACTGATTGATGTTAGTTCCTTAATAACATGACCAGAGGCTTCTTGGTCCTTCTTCCCCTTCTACCTTCTTTGACTAGATCATCATGTGAACAAACATCTATAAATTGACTCTTCTGGCTCTCTGATGTAATCAGTTCCCACAAGAAATAAAATTGGAGGCTAATATATCATAATATTTAGTAAGAACTATTTTTGAAATTTCATTGTGCTCAGGGTTTTTCAGAGGCTATACAAAATCCTTAAAGGTGTCATACATTTGGAAGCTGAAAAATATGAAGTCTTTGAGTTCTCGGCAGTGCCTTTGGCTCCATAACCCTTCCTCTCTCTATCCATCCCTCTTCTCTCTAATTGTAGATCCAGGGGCCTATAATTAAATTCTAGGGGTTTCTCCCCTCCCCTTTTTTTGTTGCCTCTTTCTATTCTCCTCCAAGTGATGTCTAAGGTGTCATCCAGTTCTTGCTTGTCTTTCTGCCCCTCAATTTCTTATCAATTGTATCCAATAAACAATATATAGCAAACAATAAAAGCGCTCCAGTTCGTAATTTTATTTTATTGGTTCGAATTTCCAATATTCTGTAATTTTTGGAACTTCCAGTTTACATCACTCTTTTATTCACTACTTCGATTGCTCAAAATTAATTTATTGATGTGCTAAGGGATGAACTCAATTCGAGAATGAATTGGCTTTATATGATACCATATGTGAGGTGCCTTCTACTTGTTATTAAAGTGGTTACGAAGATGCCATTTTTGGTGAACAGGTATTACTATTTTACTGCACTGTTAAAATCATGATGATGGTCTACTTTTATGATTTCTTGGTTATATATATAAGGCTGGTCTCCCCGTTCAAGGGTGAACTAGTCACTTTTCTTCCCCAATCTCAGTGTGTAGTAAAGGTCGTGTTTGATTAACAGGTTGGGGATGTGGGACCTATTCTCGATTTGATGGCTGTGGTTCTGGAGAACATTCCTACAAGTGCCGTTGCAGCGAGAACAACAATTTCTGCTGTTTATCGAACTGTTCAAATTATCTCTCCCATTTTTAATGTATCATGTCACAAGAAGGCAAGAACAATTTCATTGTTGAGAAATATTTACAAGTTCAGATCAACCTAAATCGATCTATCAATGCATATGTTCATTTCCTGCTTCAGGCCTTTCCGGATGCTCTATTTCACCAGTTGCTCTTAACAATGGCACACCCAGACCATGAAACACGAGTCGGGGCACACCATGTTTTCTCCACTGTGCTCATGCCATCTGTCAATTATCCTTGGTTAGTAATTGATAGAAAACCTTCCCAAGCTCTTTCAGGGAAGTTGCCAGCAACATCACCAAATGGAGAAAATGGAAGTTTCTCCATACAGTATGAAAGCAAAGATAAGCCTGAGTCCACATATGGAGGAACAAGGCATGGAGAAAATCAACTTTTGGATCCATGCGCTGATCAATATGTACACTCTCCATCTCCTGTTCAATCGTATAGCTTTGAGGGTGTCATATCTGCTGGAGAAGCAGTATGACAGCTCTTACCTCTGATTGCTACATTAATAATCTATTATTTCAATCTCCTTAAACTGGTATTATCTCTCCGTATCTAGTGCTTATTTTATATGTAAAATTCTCCAGGAGCTGATTACCTTTCGATTGAGTAGTCATCAAGTGAACCTTCTTCTTTCATCAATCTGGGTTCAGGCAACATCTACAGAGAACTCTCCTGCAAATTTCGAGGCAATGGCACATACGTATAACATTGTTTTGCTGTTTACCCGATCTAAGGTGAGGTCCTGCATCTACTGCATACCTCCATTGCATTATTATCATGTCATACATCCATTTTTAGTTGTAACAATTACCTGCATTGCAATTTTCTCATAAACATTGTTTCTTTTCTATTAGAGAAAGTCGGTATGAGACTAATGAAGAACTCCACTTGCATGAAAAATGTACTAAAAATTCAGATGCAATCCATGGGATATTAAGGAAATCTATGATTTTCTCCAACCACACGTGGGCTGTTTCAAATTCATTGATGGTTCTTACCATGAATATTTTTTGATTTGTGTTATCACCATGAACATTGAACACCCCTGCATTAGGATTCAACCAACAAGATTTACTGTTGTTCCTTGCTTGTTTTCCTTTTTTGTTGTGCTTTTTTTTGTTTTGTGTATTCATTCAATCAGTGTTTTTCCTTGATATATATAGAATGTTGAAACCTATGGTCAACAATGAGAAGGCATTTATGATTTTGTCAAGTCTTGTGATTCTCACTAAACCATTAGCGCAATCTGCCTTTAGCAGTTTTTGTTAAGCGTGGTAGTTTTGTCTATATGCTGTAGCTTGAGGGAGAATGTTAGAATTGGTAGAATTTCGTATTGTCTACTTTCCTAATATGTTTCTTTCCTATTGTGCATCAAGACTACTATAAATAGGTGGCAAGGTGTACACACCTAATACTCCAATCTCATTGCATTATTTCTCTCTTCTCTTCTCTTTCTCCTAAACCCTAATACTTAATTACTTTTTCGGTTTCAACAATACCTAATAGTAATTTTTTCTTCTCTAGAACCTATCATAATAGATCTCTCGAAACTTTATAGTATGTCTTCTCTAAGTCTATAACAAGCATATAAAGGTCTTTATTTCTTTCTATATCTTTTCATTAGTGTTTGGAGTAAATATGTAGCTTCTATTGTTAATCTCCTAGTTATAAATCCGAACTGGTTTTCAGATACCGTTGTTTCAAAACTTGATCATTGTTCGATCACTTACTCTTAGATTTCATTATACGACTCATTAGTTTATGCCTCGATAGTTTTCATAACCTTATATGTCTCCCTTATATATATATATGTCTCCCTTAAAATACTCTTCCTCTACTCATTGTGCATTTTGTTTGTTAGGAATTTTTTTTGAATAATTTAGTTAAACATAATACTTCAACATCACCTAAACACTTCCAAACCTCAATAGGTATATCATCAAATTCTAAAGGTTTCTCGGTTTTCATTTTCTTTAGTGTCTCATTTACTCGAGCACCCTAATTCTACACGAAAAATTGTTTTTCTAATATCTCTATTATTTCTATTCCCCAATATTTAAGCTCCCTATATGAATTTTCTTTAGTTCTCGAAATAATTCTTCCATCTTTATTTAATTTCTTTGTGGTGTACCAAAACCCTAGAATATTCACTCTTAACACACAATATGGTTAAAATCTCTATTTTTCCTTTGTCTTATTTTGCTAGTTTATATATACTTTTCTCTCCAACCTTTATGTCTAGTTTAGAGTAAGGATCATCATATGTTTTGTATTTAGCTTCTTTTACCCTTTTGTTAATTCTTTCATTTGCAAGCTTGTAACTTTTAAAACTATCGTTTTTTATATTTTTGCCATGTTTTATAACTATTTTTTGGTTATTACTGTTGTTTGGACATCTTCATTCTTCAAGAACGTCTATGGATACTTTTTGAATGTGTTCTACAATCATATTCCACATTAATTTGTTTCACATTCCTTCTTTTAGTATCTATTCTTAAATAGGTCCATCTTTTCACCTTTCAAATTCCACCACCTTGTCCATGGATTTCTAACCAGTATTTTAGATCTTAAATCTTTTTTTACTAAGTACATCTTGTACCATTATCTTATGTTGTGTGGTCAAGCTTTCTCCTAGAATAACCTAACAATACTTACATGATCTACGATCAACTCGTTTAATTAGGAAAATATCTGTGTGTTTTATGCAATCCAATTTTGAAAATTATTAAATGTTCATCCATCTTTTTAAATATGTATTTACTTAAATAAGATCATGTTCAATGCAAAATCTTAGACAACATCTCCAGCATCATTCCTATCTGCAAATCTATGTCCTCCATGTACCTCTCGTATTCACCCGATTCTTTCCTATTTGATCATTAAAGTCTTCTCATGTGTACTCTCTCTTTTATATGTATTGAATTAGTTCAGGCAGATCCTCCTAGAAGTGGGTTTTAATGTGTGCATCGAATTCTATTTGAGGTGCATAAGCAGTAATTATTTCAATTACACTTCCTCTTTTTACAGGTGTAATTGATCTATTTCCTTTCCCAAGAACGATCATTCATTCCTTTTTAAGTGGGGATCTACTATTCTCCTAGCCCATTTCTATGTGTATCATTTGCAGTATAATAAAGTGTATAACTTGTATTTGCTACGTCCCTCACTTTAGTCTCAACCCAAGAATGCCATATTAATTTTCTTCTAATCATGGTTTCAGCTAACTCCAGTCCTTTACCTTTTAGTTTCTTTGCATTCCAAGCTATTAACCTTAGTATCCTGAACTCCACACTTGTCCAGAGTGACAAAGGAACCGTTGAACATTTTTCACCACGTCCAGGCAACTAAAATGCGACGGCCTTGCCCATTTACTACACCCGGATGTGAGTGCAACACATCGCTCGAGAGGAATGCCCTAATATTTACGAATATTCTTTGGATTCCTGTTCATCCGTGTACTAACTTTGATGGCATGCCAACTTATCAGCTTATCTTAAATAACATGTGAAGTCTCTATTTGAAAATCTGGGTCCTCCAATTTGGAGAGTGATTCTTAAACTACTTAATGACTGGATTTTAACAAACTTATTGAGCCAAGTAAACTTTCTTGTGTCCTCAGATAATTTTGGAATCCACGAGGAGTAGAAGCATCCCTTTCTCTAGGATTTTATGTTGATTCTTTTAATCCAGCCTGCATGCCAAGAGTGCCAATACTGCAAGAAAAATCCTATTTGGCAATATTTTTCTTCTGCAATTCGGCATATTTTTGGTAGCCGTTGAGATTACTCTTAGAGGAAGTGTCCACATCACCCTGAAAATTGTATTTAATTTTTCTTTGTCAAAAATTTTATTGGATGCAAGAACGATTCACCCGATGCTTTCATCAATGAGAGTATTTTTGTTGCTATTTAACTAGCCTTTATTTTTAATGTTTTGAATGTTTCTTCATTCCCACAATCATTGATCTTGTTCAACACAGAACTCCAGTCACGTGGCCTTGGTCCAGTGTTTCCAGTTGGCATTTTCTCTCAGGAGCATCTCTCTGGATCAAGAAGGTATGTTGGATTTCCGTTACATTGATTTCTTTTCATAATTTTTAGTGTAAAACTTTGATTATTTCAGGAACTTGATTGAATACTGTTCATCTATATGCATCTACTTGCACCAGGGAACAACTATTCTGAGAGGGTTTTCTCTCTGAAATCTATCTTCTTGTCCTTTCTATGATTGGCTTAATTATTGTTTTGGTTCATTCAAAAGAAAAATGAGTTGAATAGTTAGGATAAACCGAAAGGGACAGTATTTTTTTGCCTGCATACATCTGCCTGATTTGTTTCAATTGCTACCCAAGCAAGACATCTGTGCTGCTGCACTAATGAATGAACTTTTTGGACCTATTTGGTGTGGACTGATGGACACTTTTTATGAGATACTTTTGCTTGGAAATGAGAGAGAAACTCTTTTTGGGTTAATATAAGCGAAGATACAGTGGAATTCTGAGATACTGTTAAGTTTCACAAGTCCCTGTGAAAGCAGTAGAGATAGAGAGACATTGGGAGGCAGGACTGAGAGAGTTACGTTTCATGTCATTTCTGAGACTACTAAATTAATTAATTTCTGTTTTCTTACTATGCATCACTCTCACCTGAAAGTTACTGAATGCATAAAAGAAGACAATTGTGGGAAGAAAAGAAATGCATGTTAAATGAGTAATCGCATAATTTCTGTTTTGTACAACATGTCATTCCACAAGAAAGTTAATGAATGCATGAAATAAAAATCATGGTGCAGAGAGGGAAAATATATGTCCTCTTCCCCTCAAGTTATGATAGATGATGGTACTCAATTAGATGGTTATCCTGTAGTTTCTACTAAAATGATCCTCTTTTATGCCTACATGCTACATACTAATGAAATTTGCATGTGTTATGTATTTGGTGAAAAGGCTCTCTAATATTGATCCTTGTCTGCATATTGAAGGGGGTTTGCAACCATCTCGGAGAAGGTCTCTCTTTACTTTGGCATCATGCATGCTTATATTTTTAGCCAGGGCTGGCAATCTTGCAGAGTTAATTCCTATTGTCAAATCATCTTTGGCAGATGACATGGTTAATCTTCACACCTCAACTAATTTCAGCTTAGATTTGTGATACCTATGGAATCTTGCACTTAGGCACCATTTTTGATCTTTCTGAAAAGATTAATTCAACAACTGTATTGATGAAGTTTTTATTTGACAGATTGACCCTTATTTTAAGCTGGTTGAAGATGTCAAGCTGCAGGCTGTTTTTACACAACCCACTGAGAAAGTCTATGGATCGCAGGAAGATGAAATTGCTGCTTTGAAAGCACTTTCAGTAATAGAATTAGGTGACCAGCAATTGAAAGAAACTGCCATATCCGTCTTCACGACTAAGTTTGAGAAATTATCAGAGGTAATTAAACAATCATTTTTATCGGTTCCCTTTCATTCCATTTCATCTTGTCCAAATTGAGACAAAAGATCCCCAGGGGTAACTAACACAAATTCTCCTCAAGGAGACAACAGTATAGTGCCAGCACCCCATTTAATGGCTGTTCTATAATCGTTACTCATTCTAGGGTAATCTTTTGTTTTTCTAAGGTCTAATTTTTGTGTTCAATCTAACTTGTCTCCAAACTAAGGGCATTGCATTCTTTGACGAAGTGAGAGTTATAAATCCAATCCTAGTTGCATTTGCATTTGTTGATGGGGATGTTTCAATGCAAAAGTTTGTCTGGGGTAATGACACACTTCTAACTTGCAAGGTACTAGCCAAACTTGCAAGGTATGAGCCAAACTTGCAAGGTACTTTTCAACTGGTAAACTCAACTGGTTTTATGTGACAACTAAGAATGGTACAAAATAACTGGTGAAGAAAAGATCTCAGCTTGTGATAGAGGGGATCAATTTATATCCTTTTTTATCTCAATCCTAATGATTATGGATGGAGTTGTATCTTCATCCTAGATACAGGGTGTAACTCATATGGACTAATAACCAAGAATTCATAATAGAGAAGTAGCCACTCTGGCATTTGGTCATGGATTCTGTTGTCATTTCAAATTTTATCTTGGTGTCATAACGGTGGTTCTTAGCCGCTGTAATTTTTCCGTTCATTCTATTTTAACAACGTTGGTATCCTTGTAATGACTTTGTATTTGAAAAAAAAAAAATCGATCTGGCAACTCTTTTGGTGTTCAGAATTTTTATTCAATGTGATTTATTTTGAAATCACCATCAGAAAGTCTCTGTAGAAAAGTTTAACTTCCTTTCTTCCATCACCATCATCACTATCAGCGGCCAGAGTATTGTTTTCCCACCATTGCCTTCAATCCTTTCTCCCTTTCGCAATGCCTTTTTTTTTTTTCAATTTCCAGCCAAATTTACACATCTGTTGTTCGAAGTATTCCTTGACCAACTCACCATTTGATTTCCCACCATTTCGCCACTGAGCTGGTTCTTGATGCCAACTTTCATGCTTTGAAGTGTTTTTTTGGTTAGTTCCAATGAGACCTTTTCGTCTCCTACTGATTGTTCTCCTGTCATACATTGTTATTATCTAAATATTTGCAAAAAGGGCCACATAATTCTTTCTTTTACCAGCAACGTATTCATGTGCGTCTGGTGTGTGCTTGAGGGGAAGAACTAGAGAGAATAGAGGAAGAAACGGAGCTTCATGAGAGAAATCAAGGGAGGAAGGAGAAAGAGAAATAGGAAAAAGAGCAAGAGAAAGAGGTTTGACAGTTATGTGGGTGTTTGCCTTCTGTTGGTTTCTTTGGTAAAACTTTTCAACTTTTAGAGGATAACACTTCAGCCTTATTCAAAGTTGTCACATTAACACATCTATGAGACCTACTGGTCCATTTGTTACAAGGTATGATAGCTAGAGGAGGAATCTAGAGGGAAAGGAAGCTCATTCCCTCCTTACATATGGTGGATCAGGGTAGAAGGGTAAAAGGAAGAAAAAAATGGTAATGCTTGATTACGTTACATACTAAAGAAATCATGTATGAAGAATAATACATCAAGTAACATGCTTTTGTGTACCCCTAAAAAATCTTTTGAAATTAGTTTTTGCATCCTATTCCAAAATTTTCTCCATATATCTGCTCAATACAATTCTTGATTGAGTCCACTTCTTTTCAAATTCTGTGTACTTTAATCCTGTTAGCGTCATTTTGGCCCATGTTATGCCAAGTCCATTTGATCTAATTCGGTCCTTGTCTTTTGCAGCCCAAATTTGCAAGAAGTGTCATTCCTTGCGTTTTGACTTTTTGGTATTGGTATTTGCATGATGATCATTCCATCCACACATCTTATACAGATGTGTATGATGTATATCCTGGGCCTCGTGTTTGCATGATGAACATTCCATGCACACGCCTCAATCTCTTCATTTTTTGCACGATGATCATGCTGTGCACATTTTCTCCCAATTTGTCATTTAGGAGCAGATAGCCTCAAATCTTAGTTGTAAACTCCGCATTATGAGTCACTCCATCCAATCTCAACCGTCGCACTCTTGGTTATTGGTTACTTCAACATGGCCATAGTCCCGTTAACATCCCGTTAACATAAACGAAGCTGTAGTTTCAGTCAACTTTCGTTTTGACATATTGTTTCGGTCACCTAGGAAACGAAAATATTTCGACGTGTTTCGGAAACGTTTTGACACGTTTCGGAAACATAATGAAAAAAATAAAAAATTTGAGAATTATTTTTTTAAAACATTAGTCGAAACATATCAAAATAACTTGAAACATTCTGAAACAATTGTACAAATTCATTAAAGTATTACAAAACATCTCGAAACATTATAGAATACCTCGAAATATTAAAATTTTGATTCTATCACTGATTCATTTCGATCTCTTTGAAAACAGAAATGTTTCGACCGTATTGAAAGAAAATTTTGATCATTGGTTTCAGCAAAACATTTTATTCTTGTACACACTTCACGTTCAGATTTGCATACCCAACATAAGGGTGAATGCTGAAGATCAGTGTTGAGATAAGATCTTATCTTGTGGTTGATGGTGTCAGTTTTAATTATTTTATCTCAATCTCAATCTCAATGATTGTGGGATGTAATTGTATCTTCACTCTGTATATAGGTGTAACTAATAATTGCTGATAACCAAGCATTACTAATAGAGATTTAGCCACTCTAGCATTTGGGATGTGGAGGTAGGTCTCATAACTAACAGGTCTTTGATTCAATGGTACTTCTTGTCTTATGAAGGTTTTGTCTTTTTAAGGTCAAGGGTTCAAGTTTTCCTTCCCTTCAAAAAAAAATTAAAAAATTAAAAAAAGTTTTATAGGTTGAACCATGTTAATTTCTTGGGTTACTTTGTATTCTATTCTCTCTTTACAATAATAGGTGGTAACTTGTCATTATTTAGTTTCCTATAAAAAAAAAATAAGGCGGCAACTTGTGGTTGCCGTTTTAAGGTGACATTATTTAAACCTGAACTCCCTCCATACCACTAGAGGTAGTTAGTTTCAGCAAATAAAACTTTTACCATCAAAATGTGTCTAATTAAGTCATGTGCTTGATTGGTTTAACAAGATACCTCAGTGTTTAGAGTGTGTCCTTTGGTTTTAAGTTCTCACTAATTTACCTAAATAGCCCCTAAACTAGAGCATTGGTTTGAATTAGGCCTTTAAACTAAAATTTGCCTCAATTGTGCCCTCCAAACTATTTATTTGATTCAATTTGCACCTTTTGAGTAGTTCCATTGAATTTTGTAACGAAAATGAGCTATTAGGGACTCATGTGATGTATCCAAATGATATTTTAGGCATTCTAATAAAAATTCCCGAATATCCAAGTCCAACCAACTCTGCCCCGTAACCCGACCCACTAACTTGACCATTTTCTGATGTAGGATAGGAAATCACAAAATAGAAAGGGAAGAAAAAATAAGAGGGGGTGGAAAGAGTTTATCTCATCCTTGCAAGGAATTGGTGAAAAAACATATAAATTCTCTATGGAGAATCACTTTTTATTATATCACTCTCTCTCATAAAAATAGTTGGGATTACACCATTATTTATAGGTCAAGTTCCCTATTAAAATAAAAACTATTCTCCTACTAAAATTCTAAAAGAGTTTCATAATTAAACTCTCAAATTTCTATTCCACTAAAACTCTATAATAACTCCTAGTTAAACTCTAACTAATATTTCTAATCAGACAAATATTCTCTAACTAATATAATAATAGTAAAATAAATAATAAAATTCAATTCTTAAATTTAAGTTTATCCATTCCCTTTTCGATCTCTATCATTTTCTCTTCTTCATCTTTTTCTAGTTTGCAATCTGTGAAAAGTCAGCCTACTGCAAAAACACCCAGATGTAGAACGGGAAGGATTAGAAATCACAGAATAGAAAGAGAAGAAGAAAGAAAGGGGATGAAAGGAGTTTACCTCATCCTCGCAAGAAATCAGTGAAGAAACACATAAATTTTCCACGGAAAACTACTTTTTATTATATCACTCTCTAATTAAAAATAGTTGGGATTACACAATTATTTATAGGCCAAGTCCCCTACTAAAATAAAAACTACTTTCCTACTAAAATACTAAAAGAGTTTCATAATCAAACTCTCAAATCCTTATCCAACTAAAACTCTATAATAATTTTTTAGTTAAACTCTAATTAATACTCTTAGTCAAACAAATATCTCATAACTAATAAAATAATACTAAAACAAATAATAAAATTTAATTCTTCAATTTAAACTCATCCAATCCCTTTTGATCTCCATCACACCCACACACAACTTCAGAAAGACAAGTGATCATCACTCACTTTCCATCCTTTTTTTAACACTACTTCTTTCTCCAACTAGCCCTAACCCCGATACAATTTTCTTTTATCCTCTCATGTTTTCTATGCCAATTTACATTGAATAATTAATTATTTATGTGCATACACATGAAAGCAATGCAACATTTAGCTGGGGAAAAAAGATCTCGTTCTCAAGGTATACCTATGTGTGTTTGTGTGATATATCTGCATAAAAATTTTGGATTAAACTGATTGGTTGGCTGATTTGGTTTTAAAGGGGTTGGATTTGTTGAATAAACATATTATTTTTCAATTTGATGGGGCTGGTACTTGAGAAGCAAGATTTAGCTACAAAGGCAAATGTGAATGTTATGGTTAGGGTTAGGATTAGTAGAGTGGAGTTGTGTGCCGTGGTTTGGGTGCTATAATTAGAACAACATGAGGAAAAGAAAATAGTGCCGAGTTAGCTAGTGGGGTTAACGGGTTGGGTATGGGAAATGAAATTTTTTTTTAAGAATACTTAAAATGCCCTTTAAATTAGGCACATGAGTCTCACGTGGATCAATAAAGGGTGGCCCAGTGTACGAGATTTATGCCATTGCGGGGTCTATGGAGGGTTAGTTGTACGCAACTTTACCCTTGCATGCCGAAAGACTGCTTTCGTGGCTCGGACCTTTGACACCTAGGTCACAATGGAGCAATCTTACCACTATGCGAAAGCCCACCCTCCCATGTGGAGCAATTTGGTTCAAAAGTTTGACGGAAGTTGTACATAAAATTGAATTAAAAGGTTTGAGGGCTCAATTGAGAGAACTCTTGTTTAAGGAATTACTTAAAAACTAATGATATAGTTTAAGGTGCAAGTGTTTGAGTATCAAGGGTAGATATAGAGTGGAAAGGCAAGCCTTATTTCGTTCTCCGGAGTTTCAAAGTTGGTCAGAATTTAATTCTTGTGCATCGTTGGAATACCCATCCTGTCACCTAATCTCTTGTGGAAAACGAGGTGGAGTGCTATAAATCAATGAGGCAACCTATGACCAAAAAGCTGTGAAGAAACTGTGGAACATCTAACTTATCTTTTCTTAATTCTAGGCATAACAATTAAAAATTTTGGCAGCAGAAGAAATGGGTTTCAACTTTCAACATTAGTCTGTGGGGCATCTGTTTTATGTATTCTTTGTGATAATCTCATAGCACCAACCTGATATGACAAGCCATTTTGGTTTAGTTCTAAAGCCAAGATTTTATGAATTGTGTGGTTTTGCCTTTGTTTGGGTGGTATGGTTGGAAGCAAATGGAAGGATTTTTTATGATGAGACGAGATTTGTGGGATGAAGTTTCATTTTTAGCTTCTCATGGGTGTCAACAGCAAAGGAATTTGATGGGATGCCACTTGTTTTGATTAAAGACTATTGGGCCCGAGTATGCAAGGAATGTTCACTATGGACATTGAGCCAGACCTCGCAGTGGCAGAGCCTCGTGGCTGCCCTTTTTTATTCTTTATGTGGTTCGATGTTGTCTTTGTTTTTTGTATCTCTTAGAGAACTCCTTGTCCTCTTATTCACCTTTCCACTTTCAAAAAAATGCTGTGTTTACTATCGGGAAAAATATAATTGGTTTAAATATTTCTGGCGCCCTCATGTTCTGCTCCCCAGTTTTTATGTTCATGCTTCATATTATCAGGCTCACTGAAAGATTAGATATCTGATTCCCAGTTAACTGGATACAAACTGAAAATTTTTAAGAAATGCCTTTCCTTTACTGGCCATGGTTCTTTAATCAGTCTTCACACGGTAGCTATAGATTTCCTTGAAATAAATTTGTGGTCATATCAATCTTAATGATGTTGAGTTCACATCAAGTTCCACCGGCACAGAGCAAGATCCTGCGAGCTTGTTTGAATACTTTTATACATAAAGTTTGGCGTTTTAATCTTCTTATTTTTATTCATCTAATTCTGGATCTGAAAATAAGTATGTTAAACCTCTTTCACTTTTCTCTTTTCCAGGATGAGTTGTCAAGCATAAAGAAGCAACTTCTACAAGGATTTTTACCTGATGATGATTATCCTTTGGGAGGTCCTTTGTTCATGGATACACCCCGACCTTGTTCTCCACTTGCCAAGATTGAGTTTCAGGCTTTTGAAGAGGTTATACTTGCAACAAAATATTCCCATCTTTGTTCTTTCATCCACTATGCTTGACAAAGTTTGCCATCATAATTTTCTCTCAGATCATGGCTCCAGCTGCCTTAACAGATGAAGAAGCCTTTCCTGATCCAAGTGGAAGTCAATCAGGTCGCAAAACATCTCTCTCCATCACCTCACTTGACATTCTGGGTGTTAACCAGCTCTTAGAATCAGTAAGTTTTAATTATTTCTTCCCCATCATTAAGATGTCTATTCTGTGATTATTTCTCTATTAATCATGAAGTTGAACTGAGCCATGGACTAGGTAGATTGAAGCATATAGATATGAATAATTCCTAATCAACGCCAATCTACCCCTACAGTTATGCAATTTGCAATTGTTGGGTTGTGATTAAATTGTTTTTGATGAAATATTCCATTACTATGAATATATGGAGAAAATCCATCCCGACAAGCCCAAAAATGCTATGCCAAAAGGTTAATGTGTAAAACATTTCTTGGTTGCTTTAATTTGCTCAAATACTTTATGAGTAATTGTGGTTTTATGCTCACGAAAATGAACTTGTGGACAAATTATGGTGTTAAGTGGCCAATCTGTGAAATGATTAACTAGGATTTCCTTTGTGGACATTTCAATGTGCATGTGCATCTTGTAGACACTGTTACTCATTTCATGTAAGCCCACTTTTTTATGGTGGCCTCTTTTTGTCCATTTACTGGAAAATAACAAGGTGGAAAGCTAACGAATTCTTGGAGAACCCCTTGTTTTAGACCCAAGTACTTTAAAAGATCTGACTAATATCTTTTTGCCTTTTTCCTTTCTTTGGGCCGCCAACTATAGCATATGATGGACATGGTATCAATAATTCAAAATGGGTTAATTATAGTCGCACCTTTGGTATATTACCCAAAATTCAGGGACACATGATTTTCTCAAGATACACTGACATCCCTTAGTTTTTGTCTGCAAACAAATACTATAACAGAAGTCTCAACTTTACAATTTTATCCTCATCATTTTGTAATATTATCTAATCTAAATGTAAGACTCAACCCCTCATTTTCTCTGTCTTGCTCTCGCTCTAATTTGCCCCCACCACGACCACCTCTGCTTCCATGCTCTAATAAAACTTTCACGAAGGCACCAGCACCAACACCAGCCACCACTCTTTTTTTATGTAAACCATTTTTTGTGGTATATAGTCTCAAGCCCTCCCTGCTATCTTTGAGATTAACTGGTACACTGACTGCTATCTAACAGAGATAAGTGTTTTATTTTTTTGTTAAGTAACAAGAACTTTCATTGAAAGGAGAATAAAGGTTCAAGTAGGTGGATAAGAAATCCAGCCAAAACAAAAAACTAAGAACTACCACAGAATCCTTCAACTTCAAGCCACATTCCAACTATGATGAATTAAAAAAAAAAAAAAAGGAATATCCCCAAATTCATTGGAAATAGCAGCTCAGAAAGATACCAAGAACTTTACTCTCTCCAATAAAAACTCCTCAAGCTCACCTAAATCGTTGACCCAAAAAAATTTGCAATAATAACTTACAGAGATTGAAAGTTCTTTTTGCCTCCGGCTTTCTCTCTCTAACCACCATTGCCACTTCAATTTCTAGTGAGAATTTGCAAAATGAGGTCGAAGGGTCAATTTGCTTTTGACAATGAGGGATTTGTGATGTAGTGGATTGGGATTTTTGAATCACCGTTTATGTTATTGGATTGGAATTTGGTATTTTAGGATTTTCTAACTTTACTTTTTTTGGTTATATATTTGTGAATTTGAAGGTGACAGTGGTGTTGGTCGTTGATAGCCATGGTGTGTGAGTTTGTCTGGGTCGTGGCAATGTGCATGTTTGTGTGGGTTACTAATGGTAGGATGCTATTAGTTGTGCTCGTGATTTTGGGAGGTTTGTGTTGGTGCTAAGTGTGTAGTTGTGGCAAGATGTTGGTAATCAGCTGTGGAAGACAATTGTGGTGGGTCAGTGATGGTGATGTGTGTGTGGTGGTGGTGGATTATGTTGGTGGTTTTGGAGGTTATGTGTATAAAGAGATCTTGTATCATACATCGAATGATTAGAAACACCCAATGTTGGTTTATATGCTTAAGAGATCTCTCCACTTATTATCAATTGGTTTTGGATTAGATGCTCTAATATGGTATCAAAATTGGGCTTTGGGTGGTCAGCGAGCCAAGTCTCTTACCCATTTTAATTTTTCGGTATGCATGTTTGTATATTTATTTGTTAGCCTAAGGTGCAAGCTCAGGTCTCACATGAGCGAAGGTGTAAAGAGAACTTCTATCCCACTTCAGATGATTAGAACCACCCAATGTTAGTTTATATGGTTAAGGGGCCTGTCCACTCGTTGCCAATTAGTTTGGGGTTGGATGATCTAATATGTGGTGTCGGGTATGTGGCAGCTGAAAGTTGAGGAATTGGGGTTAGAGATAGTGGTGTTGAGTTGGTGATGAGTTGGTGATGATCGGTGCAAGAGAGAAAAAGAAAAAAGTAGAAGAAGAAAGGGGTGTTTGGATGGTCAGTGTAAGTAGTTCCAATGACAAGTATGGAATGTTTAGATAGAAAACAGCTTAAAAGAACTTTGTGCAAATGTATTTAAGTTGTTTAATTTCTGAATGTGCGATCATTCACATTCGAGATTACTAAAATCTTTAGCTGTTTTCATGAGGATAATGTGGGTATTGAAACAAGTTAATGCCCTTAACTACAGAATGCTATATGTATGGAATACATTGACTGGAATGAATGAACTGATATTTTAGAAAACCAAATGTGTGCCCATGTATTTAAGACAATATGCAATGGGTGACGCCGTGACGGTTATAATATACCCTTTACAAATTCCGAATTAGGCACTATTGAGTAATTGTATTTTATGAATCAAATTCGGACAAAAAAATGTTCTCTGTATGTGTTTTGAGTAAGGCAGCAGGAGATATTGATGGTATAATTTGAAGCATGTAACTTTTCATAGAGAGATCTAACGTAGGAGATGCACCAAGAATTACTGATCCAGTGATTGAAATCTGGTTCAGTAACCTTGAGTTTTGTAGGTTCAAACTTAAGGGCAGTCACTTTGTGCAAATAATGTCCAGGTCTGTACCTAGTATAGCCCTTTCAAACTCTCAGGAACTAACTGGGTTTTTTTCCCGGAACATTCTATTTCTGCTTGGTAAAATTAACTATGTAGTTCGTGGGTTATTCAAATCTTGTTCTGTGATTTTTTCTAGGTATTCTGTCTAGTATCAGTTCTAAGTATAACATGGGCTTGTATGACAACCAGGTAATGGAAACAGCACGGCAAGTTGCAAGCTTCCCAGTATCCTCAACACCGATACCCTATGATCAGGTCAGGAATCAGTGTGAAGCCCTTGTAACTGGTAAACAGCAGAAGATGTCGGTCCTTCAAAGTTTTAAGCAGCAACAGGAAGCCAAGGCGATACTTCTCTCCAGTGAAAATGGAAAGAAAAGCCCTATTTTACAAAACATGGTGGGATTTTTGTCTTTTTCTCGCTTTTACACTTTCCTAGAAATAAAAAAGAAGGGAAATCAATTGCTGCACTTTGGCTTCTAACTACATTTTAATTTTAATCCCCTTTTTCCCTCTGCAAAAAGTCTTAGTCTTGAGAGAATACCAATACTGGATAACTACTAGAAATATCTGCCAAGGTACCTGAAAATATTGACGACATCCTCAGTGTTTTACCGAACTTTGGTACCCTAGCTGAGAACTTGTAATGTCTTATTACTTCTAACTAAATAAATAAATAAATCTTTCATTGAATTGAAGTAAACTTTAAACCTAAATGTTGAGATAAGGGATAACCAGTAGGTTCGTTGATGTTCAACCTCAGAAACCTTCTGATTTTCCCTTAAAAAGTTTCTTGTAAAAAAATGTAGGAATAAGAGGTACCACACTTTATTTAACTGTCGATGCAATCAGGTATTTTTGCATCCCCAGTAAGGCATTGATATGATGCCCTTTGAAGGGCCTAACTGCCTAAACAATTTATTGTCCAGATGGCCATTAAGAATTATGTGTTTTCATTTTCACCTCAAAGCTTTTCCCTTGGATTTTATTTCAGACGATGGAGCTCTCAAACGGAGATTTGAAATTACCAAACATGGACCCAATTCCGGGAAGGAATCAACTGCATTGTTCATACAAGTTTGGACAGCAACAGTCTTTCAGACTACCACCTTCAAGCCCCTACGACAAATTCTTGAAAGCAGCTGGATGCTGAAGGATTTGTTTGACTTGTACATGTACGTAGTTTTTACCATTTGTTGTCATCTCTGTCTTTTCTTCTCCAAGCAGATGCTATTTTTTCATTCTTTATACTAGTGTATGCATTACTAGGAATTTTCGTTTATATGACAGATTGAAGTTTGTTTAGTTGCTTTTACTTTTCATATTCAAAATATGTGTGAGAAGGAATGAAGTAGAGGGGGAAAATGATTGTCATGGTTGTATCGTAAGGAACCATTATTTGTATCTTCTTCTTCGACATTCAGTAATATTTATTATAATAGATGTTTTACTCTTTTTTCTGTCACAAAGGCGACCTACCGTTCAAATGTTTGATATGATCTTTGTCAATTTCTTCCCTTGAATATGTTTAAATTGATCAAGATAATTTGATTTTATCATGAGAATGAATCCACAAGAATCAAAATGAAAAAAATAAAAAGCCAAGAAGACCAAAAAAAGGCATAGTTATGAATTATGAGTTGGTATTACCTAACCTTCTTATTCACAACCCTCAAACCCAAAAGATCCTGAGTAGAAGATTTTCCCAAGCCAATGCGAAAGTATTGGTATGCGGATTTATCTGGATCAAACAAAAAGGTCATAGGAAACATTTTATTATTAGAACTTGAGACCAACCAAAAGGTAAAGACAATGTTATTACATGATAAACCGGTACATTCAATGCAATTCAATTCCTATAATTCATTTCATCTTGAAATTGCCAACTGAAGCAATCAATTGTGGGGGCATGTGAAGAGACACGTGAGAACAAAAATGTCATTTAGGTATTTAGTGGGGATATTTTAGGTAAACAAAAGTTTTCTTGATTTAGAGACTTTTAGGAGTAATTGTATATTGTATATATATATTTTTTGAATGCTTTTTATAAAAACTCAAATTTCTTTTTCTCTTAAAAATAAAAAGAAAACAAAAAAGAAGAATATTTGATGACTATTTTATCTAAGTAATGCATATGTATTTTGTGATTAATTATGTGTGCATAAGCATTACGGTACAAATTTAGGAGAAACGAGCAAACTCTGGTAATAATAAATAAAAAATTTAATTGTCTTACAACAAAAATACTTTTTAACTCTTTAAATGTATTTTGCTTTTTAAGCAAAGCATTCTAAAGTTTCCCAAACGACAATCTTTACTTTTTGGAAGATCCTAAGTGCTAACAAAGGTTGGCAAGTCTACTTTCCAACAGTAGAGCGTCATGAATTACAATGAAAGGAAGCGTCATCAGGAACAAGAATTTCTGAATTTTGTGTGGTCATTTTGTAAGTTGGTTGTAATTTTGATAGTAGCTCTGATGGCGCAATGGAAACTTCGCGTTGTCGGGGTTCGAATCCCTCCTTGCCTACAACCAGCCCAAAAAGGATAGACTTTTCCCTCTAGGGGTAGGAAAATTATGGTCGGAATTTAAAGAGTGAACCAAAAGCTATAAAACTTGGGTGCAGGTCTTTTGTGTAAATGGAATGGCCTTTTCTGGAGTTTGTTCAGTCATTGAAAAGGATCTTCTCACTAAATAGCTCAAAATGCTACAGTGGAGGGAAACCACCTATACAAAGAGAAAAAAAAAATTCGTTTGAATGAGGGCAGTGTTTTACATTTTCTAGGTAAAGAAAAGTCAGTTGCAATGCATTCCGTTTGGTTCACCGGATAGGAGGATAAGGCTCTGAGATTGGGTAAAATAATCCATGGGGCTCACATTTCTCGGGGGTGGTATTAATATGGGTGGATTGGGATTAGAAATAAAGTTATTAATTGATGGTGTGTAAAACGCAATTGAGCAAAATAGGTATTTTACGGGATTTGATCTGAGCTACAAGGCTCTTGGGAATAATGTGACAACTTTAGAGGAATGGGGTAGAATGTACAGATGAGTTATAGTGGTTCACTAGCTTGAGAGCTCAGCTAATTCACTCTTCAAGGAGGTCTCTTGCTCTTGGGAATTATATTGAAGATGAAGAATGGATTACACAGTCTTCTTGGTATTATTTGGATTGCTTGCCCCAAAGTGAGGACTGTGTATAGTATTTATAGCTTAGTTCCTAGTTCTATGGGGTCTAGGGTGAGATCTTCGCCTCCCTCTTGTAATGTTTTGCTTGATTTCAGGCAATGGTTTAGGTGGTTGAGGTTCTTGAACCTAGACTGACGTTTACTGCCATTGAAAGGGTGTTTGATGGTTGTTAGCCGTCTTCCACTCATTTTTCTTTGAGGCGCAGGTTGAGGGAGACCAAGGTTTGGACCTTCGAGCACAGGCTTTCTTGGCTGAGCTCCCTTTCTAACCTCAATACCTAAGCACAGACTTGAAATTTTTCTAGGTATCATCAGTTGCCCCCCAGTCCCTGGTCAAAGTAGGTTTGAGTAGGGGCTAAGCTATAACTGGGTCGAGTTAGGTCTCCATAGGTTGACCTCGATTTACGCGTGATGGGACTCCATTCTGACAGTTTTGTCGAACGTGCAATCATTCCTTCCTAATTTCTCGCACACGTCCCATATTTCGAAGGCCCATGTACACTAAGCTTTAAATGCTCCTGTGACGAGGGAAACCGTCTCATTTCACCTTTCGAATTCTCCCACTAGGCTTTTCTCTCTATCTTCCCTTGCGATTTTAGTTTCCTCAATCTGCTGGAGATCTTAGGGTTTTGTTGAAAAACAAATTCCCCTAATTTGACTTGAAGATTTTGCGAGGCTTGCTCTCCGATTTCACTTTGGGCTTCGGTTTATCGCTCGCTCTTGGTTAGGTACGCTTCTTGGCTTTGTTCATTTCTTTGTTCTAGATCCCTCAAATCCGAGGTGTTTGGACCTTTAGCTTTTACTACTTTAGGAATCGAGGCTACTCCTTGTCCTCTCTTCCCTTCTTTCTAGATCCTTATTCCACTGCTAGAGTCTTCCTCATTGGTCGTTGGTGTCTTGACCTCTTGACCTCTCGACTCTTGGGGATTGTTTTGCTAACACCTCATTTCTTTATTCCTCCTTTTATCTTCCTTTTTCCAATCCTGTCATGTCTGGCTCTTTCGAAGCTACTGATTCATCGGTCTTTCTTGCCATGGGTGAGAGGTCTGTTGGGGAGGAGGACATCAATTTGGGTGACGTCGGCAATGAGATTGATAATTTTTCCAGTGTCGATACTGGGGAAGAAGCCGAGGAGCTCCCCCCATCACGTTCCCCTGTGCCCAAGAAGTCTAGGAAAGGAAAAACCAAAGTGAGTGATGTTGGGGTTTTTGGCAGCATTGGAGGTGCAGTGGTTGCCCCCCGAACCTCAAACCTCGTGGGTTTTGGTGAAGTCACACCCCATTTCATGAGTGTTTTATCTGATTGTTATGGCTTCCTCAAGGTAATCACTATTGGTGTCCTCACGTGGACGTTAAGTATGACTTCCAGATCCCTAAGAAGATCTGCTTCTTTGTGGTCACTTTCGAGAATGACTTTCGTTTTCCAATGCACCCCTTTCTTAAGAGCGTCCTTCAACATTTCAACGTTTGTCCCACTTAACTTTCTCCCAATTTTTGGGATATTATAGTTGGTCTTCTTGTTTTCTTCAAGAAGCACGAACTTGGAGTTCCTACCATGCCTTTGCTTATGAAGTTCTTCAATGTCAAGTTCACTCCTTCTGATGGTTGCCTGTATGTTTCCAAATAGGTAAAAACCTGAGCTATCATTACTAACCTCCCAAGCTCCCATAAGGGTTGGAAAAAGCTCTTTTTCTTTGTGTCGAGAAGAGAATGGGAATATAATTCCGGAGATGTAGCTGACACCCTCCCTTTGCCTTAGGTTTGGTCTGCCCCTGGTAATCTGGGTAAGCCTTGCCTGAGTAAGCTTGGTTCAGCCTTGATGCTTTATTTTACTGACCTTGTTCTACTTGTTTTGTTTTTCTTTTTAGGTATTCGACATGTGCTTAGTGTCGAGGATGAGCTAGTTCTGCTAGACTTAGAGGATTACGAGCCAAAGAGGTATTCCAAGTTCATCAAGCCCAAAGTGCTTACCGAATTTGGGTTTAGTCCTCTAGAGGTGAGGGTTGAGACCCTTATTCCCATTTTTGTAGCTGGTGTAGAAGGACTCGTAAGTTGGTGTTCTTCATTTTCCCTCTGGCTTTTCTCACCCCTCTTTTTTGCTCTTATTTACCTGCATACTGTAGCTTTTCAGGTTCCAGCTCGATGGCTCCGGATGCTGAAGTATTGAAGGCGAAGGTTACCTCGCTGAGGAAGACCAGGAGTGGGGGAAAATGCAAGGCCGAGGTCGGATCAGGAAGTGATTCTGCCCCCCAACCAAGGTGCCAAGGTTAGAAGTGCCTCCTGTTTCTCCCCTTTCTTCCCAAGTGATTCTTGCTCCACCGCTGAGCTCACCAAAGGTTGCACAGACCTCATTTCCTCAAGGGACCATGTCTTCCTCTCCTGGAGGGGGTCCCGAGCAAACTACAGTTTCAACCTCTCCTTCATCGACAAAGGTCTAGGGGGCCATGGAGACAATTGCTCGCATTCGTCCTTGGTCTTCCTCTCCTAGATCGGCTGAGAAGTCTCATCAACTACTTCTGAGGGGCTCTAAGGTTGAGAAAGATGAGGGCTCCCTTATTGATAATGTGAAACTTGCTGCGGAGGTCATTGCCTCAATCGTCCCTGAGTCTGATATCCAAAGGGCTGCTATGCCCCTCTCCACTTCTATCACGACGGCCTTGTATGGTGCTACTTCGATAAGTTTCTGGTTTTTTCAAATTCCATTTTTGTCTTGCATCATTCCTTCGTGTTGACTTTAGCTTTTGGTTGTATTTGCTCCTAGTTGATCATTCATGTGAGTGCTTTGGTGAGTCAGATCAGAGCTTTGGAAAGCTTAGCCAAGGCGTCGAAGGCCTTTGAGCTCAAGGTTGCCGAGCTGACTTTTATCAAATGATAATCTCAAAGCTCAGGTTCAGGACCTGCAAGCGCAGGTGGAAAGGCATTCTTCTGTTATTAAGGGTTTGGAGGTTGAGAAAGAGAAAGTCAAGGATGAGGTCAAGAAGACCAAGGAAGAGCTCGGGTTGAAGACTAACAACCTACTTCAAGCTCGCAAATAAAATCGGGAGGCTCTCTAGTCTTTGGAGGCTATAAATAGAGAATATAATGTCTTGGCTGAGGTAAATGACACTTTATGGGTAGAGATTGAGGCTGAAAGGGCTATTGTAAAAAAGAAGGATGTCCTGATCACCAAGTTGGAGGATGAAGCTGCCACCAATTAGGCCACTAGGTATCTCACTTTTCAAGATCAAGCTATGCAGGCGTAGCCAAGCTTGAATTTTGAGTTCAATCCCCCTTCAGATAAGGAGAATGAGGTGCCAAAGGAGAAGGAGGCACCAAACATTGAGAAGAAGGCAGAGGTCTTGGTTTCCCCTATTTCTGAGCTCATTCCTGGGGGTCCTAAGGTACCTCCTTCATCAGCCGAGGTCTCAGCCTCTGTGGGTATTGGGGTGTCTGTTCCACTAGTTGAAGTCCCTTCTCCTGCAGCTTACTCTGTTCCAACCATTATTTTTGACCTCCCCAATCTTCCTGAGCTGCTTGGAGCTCTTGTTGCTCCTTCATTTGCTGCTACTTTTGCGGTTCCCAATCTTCCAGGGCCCCCTGAAATTTTTATTGATTTTCCTCCATCTGTTGCCTCAGAGCTTCCTAAGCTACCTGGAGTGATTCCAGATCCGATTGCCAGCACTTAGGACCTCTATTCTTATTTTGCTTGTTATTTTTTTTAGCTCCACGCCTTACTCTATTACTTTTGATAATTGGAATGTTTAGGCTGACGAGTCTTTTGCTTAGGGACTTACGAAAACTAAAGATGATCCGACTGACAAAGATCTCGTCGTTGGTTTATGAGCTAAAGAGCTCATCTTTTGTTTATGAGCTGAAGAGCTCATCTTGTGTTTATGAGCTGAAAAACTCATTGTTTGTTTATACTAGTAGTGAAATGCTGATTGAGCTGTAACTTCTCACTTTATTGATGGACTCATTCTTACAAGAATTCACTGATAAATTTTTTCAAATGTTCAGCGTTCCAAGAGTGAGGTAAGATTTTTCCCTCCTCCGTTTGTAACTAATAATTCCTGGGTCCGATTATCTTCGAAATGATGTAAGGACTTACCCAATTGGGACCAAGTTTTCTATGAGTGGGGTCCTTTTTTGCTAGAAGGAGTTTTCTGAGTACCAAATCCCTAACTTTGAAGCTCCTGTGTCTGACCCTCCTGTTGTAGTATCTTACTATTTTCCTTTGGTAACTCACGATGCGACGCAAAGCCACATCCCTCTTTTCATCAAGAAGGTCAAGATTTAGCAGAAGTGACTCATCATTATGCTCGGGCTCTGAGAACTCAGCCATGGGGGATGGAATGCCGACCTCTACAGGTGTCACTGATTCGATTCCAAATGCTAAAGAAAATGGTGTTTCCAAAGTCGCTGATCTGGGAGTGGCTTTGTAAGCCCACAATACTTTTGGGATGTGTTCACCCATTTCCCTTTTAGAGCTTCTAACTTGGTCTTCAGAGCTGCTTTTACGGTTCGGATGGTCACTCCTGCTTGTCCATTGGATTGAGGATGAACTGGAGCTAAGAAGTAATTCTTTATTTCTAGCTCGGCACAGAACTTTTTAATCTTGGGATTGTCAAATTGCTTCCCATTGTTGGAGATGATTGCCCTAGGTATTCCAAACCTGCAAAGTATAGATTTTGAAGTTAAATTTTAAACTTTTTGTTTTGTGATTGTTGTCAAGGGTTCCACCTCTACACATTTTGTGAAGTAATCCACCCCAATAATGACGAACTTGTACTGTCAAGTATTAGTAAGAAGGGCCCCAAGTATGTCCAGACCCCATTGTTGAAAAGGCCAAGGGCTTACCACCGAAGTTAGGAGTTCTGGTGGACAATGAGGAATATTGGAGTGTATCTGGCAGACCTTACATCTTTTGACCACATCTATAGCATCTTTGAGTATAGTGGGCCAGAAATACCCTTGCCTTAACACCTTTCCTATCAGAGCTCGAGCTCCGATATGGTTGCCGCAAATTCCCTCGTGGATTTTCCTGAATATGTAATTAGCATCCTCATCTCCTATGCATTTAAGGAGAGGTGCTGAAAAGCCTCGCTTATACAGATTTCCATGTTGGATCGTGAATCTGGATGAACTGGCTCTTAGCTTTGCGACCTCTTTGGGATCTTCTGGCAAGGTTTCATTCTGAAGATATTCTCTAATTGGGTCCATCCAGCTCGGCGAGGCCAATACAAGGAGCACCACTTCGTTTTCATGGTTTACAAATGGTTCAACTAGGTGTTCAACTGGGATTAATCTATCCAGGCGCTCCTGGGAAGCTGTAGCAAGCCTTGTCAGGGTGTCCACTCGAGAGTTCTCAGCTCTGGGGACATGCTTCATTTTAACTGACATGAACTTTTTAATCAATTTTTGCACATTTTTAAGGTACAGGATCATTCTTTCTCCATTAGCCTCATAAGTTTCCTCAATCTGTTTTACTATAAGCTGAGAATCGCTGCAGATTATGAGCTGCTCTACCTCCATTGAATGTGCCAAATTGAGCCCAACAATGATAACTTCGTACTCTACCTCATTGTTTGAAGCTTTGAATCCGAACCTAAGGGCGTATTCGATGTTTATGCCGTCAGGGGAGGTCAAGATCAATCCTACATCGCTTCCATGGGCGTTAGCAGCTCCATCCACTGAAAGCTTCCATGTATGGAGGTCGGGTACTAGCTGGTTGGCTTCTATGGATGCTTCTGGACTCGTGGTGAATTCTAGAATGAAATCTGTTAGCACTTGTCCTTTGACTGCAGTCCTGGGCTTGTACCTAATATCAAATTCACTGAGCCCTACTGTCCATTTGACCAACCTTCCAGAGGACTCTGGCTTATACAACACCTGTCTCATTAGTTGGTCTGTAGGAATTTCAATGGTATGAGCCTAGAAATAAGGTCTGAGTCTCCTTGCAGCTGTGACTAGGGCTAGGACCAGTTTCTCCATCTTCGGGTATCTTTCCTCCGCCCCTCTTAGAGCTTTGCTGCAATAATAAACTGGTCGCTAAGCTCTATCTTGTTCTCTGACAAGCGTTGCACTAGTTGAGGAATCTGAAACAACAAGATATAGGGTGAGCATATCTCCTTCCCTCTAGCTTTGTAGAATCAGGGATGTGCTAAGATAGTCCTTGAGGGCCTTGAATGCCTCCTCGCACTGCGTATCCTATTGAAAAACTCTCTTTAGAATCTGAAAGAAAGGTTGACATTTGTCACTTGACCTGGACACAAAGCGACTCAAAGTTGTTATTCCTGTTAAGCGTTGGACCTCTCTAGTGTTGGAGGGAGACTGCATGTCTATTATTACCTTGACCTTTTTTGGGTTTGCCTTGATTCCTCTGTTGTTGACTATGAAGCCAAACAATTTTTCGGCTGATACCTCAAAGACACAGTTGGCTGGATTAAGCTTCATCTAGTATTTTTTGAGGATTTGAAAGGATTCCTCGAGGTGCTCAATATGGAGCTTGACTCTTAATGATTTCACAAGCATGTCATCAATGTATACTTTCATCGATGACCCAATCTGTTTTTGGAACATTCAGTTTACTAGACATTGATATGTAGCTCCAGTATTCTTCAATCCGAATGGCATGACTTGGTAACAGTATGTTCCCTACTAAGTTACAAATAAAGTCTTCTCTGAGTCATTGGGGTCCATTCTGATTTGATTATACCCTGAGAAGGCATCCATGAAGCTGAGGAGCTCGTGTACAGCTGTGGCGTCTATGATCAAGTTTATCTGAGGTAGTTGGATTAAGTCTATCCGAGGTAGTTGGAAACTATCATTGGGGCATACTCGATTCAGATCAGTGAAGTCAATGCAAAGATGTCATTTTTCGTTGGTTTTCTCAATGAGGACCATGTTAGCTAACCAGGTCGGGTAGTCTACTCCCTGATAGCTTTGGCATGGAGAAGTTTGCTAACTTCCTCATTAATTGCCTTTTGGCGTTCTGGGGATAAACTCATTCGTTTCTGCTTGATGGGTTTGTAGGTTGGGTTCACGTTGAGCTTGTGCGTGATGACTAAGGGGTCAATTCCTTGCATATCTTCTTGCTTCCAAGTAAAGACCCCCATATTGCTTCTAAGGAACTGAACAAGGAGGTCTCTGAGCTTTCTAGGTAGCTTTGACCCCACATATACCGTGTGTTTTGGCTCTTCATCAAGCTGAATGGGCTCTAGCTCTTCTGAGGGCGTAGGTTTTGAATCCAACTCATCTCTCATGTCCAACTCATCCATCTGGATGGTTTTAACATCCTTCCTTTTTATTGATGTCATGTAGCATTCCCTCGCCACTCGTTGGTCTCCTCGTACCGCTCTAACTAGGTAATATGCAGAAGGGATGGCTCTCATGAAATTAAGGGAAGGTTTTCCCAGCAGAACATTGTATGCTGAGCATTGACTACCAGGAACCTTACCACGATGGTGGATTGTCTAGGTGGGCTCCCCATGGTAAGGATGAGTTGAATTACCCCCAAGAGCAGTATTCTCTCCCCTAAGAATCCCAGAAGATGAGTTCTCACGGGCTCGAGCTTATGCATGCCTATATCCATTTTGTCGAAGGTGGATGTAAAGATAATGTCGATAGAGCTCCCGTTGTCAATTAAGACCCGATGAATAGTCCTGTTAGTAATGACAACTTTTATCACCAAAGGATCATGATAGGGGTGTTAGTACCCCTCTAGGTTTGTATCCGAGAAAGTGATGTCCATGTTCATTTGAGGTGCCTTGGTCACAGTCTGCACCTCCAATTTTTCCTCAGTCCTGACCTTGCACATATGGGTTTTTCTGGCTAAGTTGGTTTCCCCACCACCAGCAAATCCTCCAGAAATCATCCTGATCTCTCCCATTGGCTGCTGGAATTGTGCAAGAGTTTGCTGCTAAGGTGCTGGAGGATGGTGAGCCATGTTCTGATTATCATGAGCCACAAAGTGGCGTAGCTGCCCTCGTTGAATCAGGAACTCGATTTCTTTTTCAACTGGATGCAATCATCAGTGAGGTGGCCATGGTCTCTGTGGTACTCACCATACTTTGTCGCATCTCTTTTTGCTGGGTCTACTTTTATCCAAGATGGTCATCTCATGAATTTCTCATTATGTACTTCATATAAGATTTGGGATATCATAGTTATGAGGGGAGTGAGCTGCTAAGGTGCGTACCTCAGCTGCAACTCTGGCTGTGGAGGACTTAGGTGATCCCTGACATCTACCCTTCTTTTGGGGGAACGATTTTCGTCTTTTCTTGGAGACTTGTCTCGGCTTTTTTCTTTTTTGGGACTTCGGTTCCTCTTTTTTTCTTCTTTCCCTTTTTTCTTCTGTGTGGATGAGTTCCCCGTTTTAGAAATGAGAGCCTCTTCGCCATTAATTTACTTTTCTGCCTTGGCAATTACCTCTACCATACTGGCTTGTGGATTTTTAGATATGGAGAACATTATGTCCTTCGATTGTACTCCTAACCCAGCGATGAAAGCAGTGATGGCGAATTTTTCATCTAAAATGTCCACCTTCAGTGATTCTAAGTTAAACCTTTGGACATAAGACCGTAGGCTCTCGTTGGGTCCTTTTTTCACATTCAGTAGATGGTAGCTCAGTTTTCGGTAGGTCTGAGCTCCTATGAAGCGTGACACAAATGATATGGAGAGCTCTCTG